GTCAAAGCCTCATATTGACCTTCCTCTCCAATGATATCTCCGGCCTGACCCACTATCCCACTGCATCTATGTATGGTGCACGCCGCACTGCTGTGTAAATATGAGCTGTTGCAGAATGTGCTGTCAAAGGACGCTGGAGCAGGAAAAACTTCAGGCTATAATGTCCTGTGTATGTTTTGAAGTGTTCTTGCTGAGGTAGGATATTGGCTACTCAAAATTGTATGAAGAGCACTCTTTTTCTGAGTCATTTTGCTTCCTCTAGTTAAATACTGCACTGCAAATACCTAAATGTGTCACTTTGTGATTTACTGCACTAAAATGAGTCAACGTTTGGAGAGGATCCAGTTGCTCTCACTCGGGTCCTTAAACAGAAAAACATTAACATACTTCTTTAATATTCAGCCCCTGCCCTTGACAGTGATTAGCATCAATCAAGCTGAAGCTAATTTTTTTTTAGCTGCTAACCGAGATACTTAGAAACATGTGCGATCTAGAAAACTTTACATCCCAGCAGAAATGATGTTGATTGTCAGTTTGAAAAGCTAATGGAAATGTGAGCTGAGCCAGGCAGATACTGTATGTATTGGATTTGATGGCCAGTCTTATATAGTATGTGTCATAAAGACCGCTATAAAGTGGACCATCAATCATGTCTGAAATCTATTTTGACTTTCTTGTTTGCAGCTATTTTTCACAGGTCTTTAACTCGTCTATTTTGAGCAAATTGAAACCATTTCCACGCTGGTTGTTACCTTAAAGGAAAACCCTGCTGGGAACTTTGGTTTCTTGATTATCTCTTGATTTTCTTGAGACTCATTTTCCAGCTCGAGCCTCAGTGTCTCACAGCATTTACAAAAGAAGTCGTAGAAAGGGAGATTCCTCTCTTTTACACTGGTGTGAACAATGTGGAGGCAGGCAGGGAGGCATGCCATGCTGGTGGATCGGGCCCACCCAGACTGCGGCCTGCTGTCCCTCTTCGCTGTCCTCCCCTCAGCGAACAAAGCAGACACAGGGAGGAAGGGGAACATGGGAGGGGGGGAGGTTTGTGGAGTACAGCTGTCACTCTGCCCCCCATTGGAGGGAGTCTGGCGGGAAGGAAGTGAGAGAGACAGATAGACGGACAAAGACAGAGACACAGCAAGATCTTTGCTTTAGCCAGAAACTGGTTTCTCTGACTAAGTTTATGTTTGGAGTTGTGTGACTGAGTGAACAGTGAATGAGAAACATTCAAATCATTTGGAAGGAACCAAAAAAACAAAAACTGGCAATTTGAACAACACTGACAGTAGTTATTCTGGACCAAAGTAAACACCTGTGCTGCGTGTACAGCAGGAACCTGTTGACCACACATTGCAATAGATCCACTGAGTTTAAGGAAAATGGCAGATTGGTACTTATTCACAGACTTTTGGGATACCATGTGTTGTTCTAATCTTTTCAATATGGGAGGTTATTTGCCTTTTTTTGAAGAAAGGACATTTTATTTGAGATGAAAGGGTTCTTGTTAACCTTGGAAATAACAGTTTGTCAGACAATGAATGAGAAGATGAGATAATGGCAGCTAAATGTGAAAAACTGTGGCAATACCTTTACACTATTTGACATATGTCACAATACACATGCTTCTAGACTCTTTTAGTCATCGGTCACGGCTATTATTTTCGTTTTTGGTTCAATCACAGGTCAGGTTCACTGTTGTAGTGTTTATATATTTTTGACAATATATGCGACTTATTCAAATCGAGGTAAAGGATTACAAAATAGATGCATTTTTTCATCTATGACACATGCTTCAGTATCCTGAATCTCCTACAATCCATCGTTACATTACATTTCATTTAGCTGATGCTTTTATCCAAAGTGACTTACAATGATTGATTACAGGGACATTCTCCCTGGAGTAACTAAGGACTAAGTGCCTCTCAAGGACACACTAGTGGTGGTGTTCCAGGCGGGATTTGAACTCACAACCTCCCGATCTTCAGCCCACCTCACTATCCATTAGACCAGTGGTTCCCAACCTGGGGGGCGCGCCCCCCTCGGGGAGGCGCCAAAGATCGCAGGGGGGGGCGCCAGGCCTCAGATGATTCGATGCCAAATATCATATTTAGACTTTTTTTTTTCTTTTTATTCTTTTTTTTTTTTTACATATAATTGTAACGCAATACATGATTGTCACTATAAGCCTTGTCTCTACATTACAATACAATATAAAAAATAATTGATTAATTAATTTGAATAACAATTCAAGTTAGTAGCTATTAAAGGCATAAAAAGAAAGAAATATATAATTCTTTCTTTAATAGAAATTTTTCTTCTGCCTGTAAAGTGTCCAAACCAGGCTGTTCTGGATAAGCAAAGTCATTGTCCATGCCGGTTTCAGTTGGATTATTTGTCACAGTTGCCCCAATCAGATCGGTCTCCTCCATTTTGTAGATTATTTAACCCTTTTGAATCCACATAAACACATCGGCAAAACCCGGCTTACTTTGAGCATGTGTTTTAAACAGTTTAATCCCTTTGTGAATTGGTTCCACTTCTGCGCCGTCCTTTAATTTCTTCATACAGCGGGAATCCAAATGAATGAATCCTGAGTCCAATAACCATCAAAGTCACTCCAATAGTGCTCCTTAATTACGCTTTCATCCTCCTTTAACAAAATGTCCAGTTTGTTACAGTAGTTGTAGCATTTTTGAGAATTCTAAACTTTAATTACCGCTGTGGGGGGCGCAACTTCCAACAGGAGTCATTTGGGGGGGCTCTTGGGGAAAAAAGGTTGGGAACCCCTGCATTACAACCACTACCTATGTCTGCACTACAGGTGTCTGCTATTCAGGACAATGTAGTCTAACAATGCAACACTGTGGTCTTGTCACATTCATAAAAACTCCATTGTTTTACTCCTCATAGCAACGCAGAAACCTAAAGCTACCTGAGGGCTCAATGCCAAAAGAGAGACAGCCTTTTGTCTGCCGTGTTCATTTGATAATCCTCGATGATAGCCACTGACTAAGCTTCTTTTCATATCAGCTTCACACAGGGCTGTCTGCCAGGACACACTTTCTCTGACACAGAAACAGTCTGATAATTAAAGTTTGTCAAAGACTTACATCAGACTGTGCCAAGGAGTTTTCTTATGGAGATGAGGATTGGATTCCCTTTTGGTTCTCCATGACACGTGAAGCAGTGCAGATTGGGTCTTATCCATCAGGACATCATACACACACACAGTTATTGTATAGTGATCTGCACAGAACACACAAAGCAATCTGTATTTTTACATATTTCATTTCACGCACATACCATATAACAGCTAAAGAATCTAGGGTGAGCAAAATCAGATATGATGCATGTTTCCTGTATTTTTAGCCGTGACTGTTGGAAACCTGAGCATGGAGCCCGATCGAGGGTAGCCTTCGCCCACCATGAGTCCAACCGGGCGTGGGCTTCATGCATTCATGCATTTGTCTATTTGTGGAAGAAGGTAGATTATAATATAAAAGGTACAGCGATTATCTGGATTTACAGCCATCTTTATTCTATTCATGGCAATAAAGATGGGATTGAGTGCTGTCATTGTCCCAGAAAATCCACTGGATATCAGTTGCATCTGAACATATCTCTCTGAGGGCGGTTTGCCCCTGTTGTGACTCGGACTGGTTTGGCGTCAGCACTGACATGTGGGTTTGAGGAAGTGGCCCCCTTCTCGTACTGAATACCCCACTATCAGCTCCCCTGATTTTTCATTGTCCCCAGTCACATAGCATAAAAAGTGCAGCCTCTTTCTTCTTCAGTGAGGCAAAACTGGGCTCAATGCTGGTGTGGACAGTCTGAGGGTCCTTGCAATTATTCTGTGTTTAATTATTATTCTCTGTTTACTTTTTATTCAGGAACAATTATATATTCACCTCTGTGCTTTCTAATTTCTTGGACTTATTGTACAGAATAAAATACTTTTAGTCTTTTAAAATATCAGTCCATTGTGCTAAAAGTGTCTTCAGACCCAATGAAGTCCCCTCAATCCTCTAAGGCTCTTAAGCAGAGTGAGGTCAGCAGGGCCGCTGCCGGTGTGACCAGTCGTGCAAAACTAAAGAGAGAAAGCCCTCTCTGACCCCCTGATCCAAAGAACCCACTGAGTTTGACCCATTTCACATCAGAAGTCACAGGTCACCAGGCTCTTCTCACAGGAAGATAAGACACTAGGGACTTTCGCCGCTGCTCTTAAAAAAACATTCAGATTATGTAGCCGAACCCACGATCTTAAATATCTGTGAAGCAGCCAGTTTTGAGTCAGTGCCCAAAGCTGAGCTGACAGTTTGAGGGATTACATGAGTCATGAGATAGTATGGATTAAAGATGTGGATCAGTGGCAGGTGACTCTCGGAGCTTTGTTCAGATGTGTGTTTTATGAGTATGGCTTCTTTAATAGCTAAAATGAGTAGAAAGCGAAGGGGTCAAATGATTCTATATGTCCTGGATTATGCTGCAGAGTTTATCAAGCTGTGATTAAATCATGTTAGTTTAACCAGAAGTACATATTTAAGGTTGGTAATGGAGCAAAAAACTATTTCACCTTGTTCAAGAGGGAGAGCGACAGAGCGTGGACTTGATGGAGCGACACAGGTCTACAGGAGGGCGCTCATTAAAGAAATCAGACTATGACACAATTTTTCCATAAGCTGACCGTCTATGTCTGTGTTGGTACGGTCCCTTTTAGGATTGAGTGAATGGAAAGTGTTAAGTAGAGGTGGATGTGCATCAGAGGAAATAAAAAGTAAGGCAACTCCTCTGAAGGCCCATGAGCTTTACGGAAGTCCTGGTATTAAGATATCATGTTTCCCCTTCCAAAATTAAATGCTTTGATATCCTTGAGCCCAAAGCAGATTGCAGTATATATGCCTCAGTGAATTCTAATATGAACAAAATAGATTGTTTCCTCGTTGTACTGCATTGCCAATTAGGTCTTTTGTACTAAGTATATATCTTTTTTCTGTCTTTAGGTGGAAACAAACTAAAGCCTCAGCCGTTCAGACTCAACTGGTCCTGGATCTCTGTGGAGAAGGAATACTATTTAGTGGATGAGGACTCCAAATTCCTGGAAGTGACACTCAAACGCAGAGGCTACCTGGGAGAAACCTCCTTCGTCAGTAAGTGTTGACTTGAGTCTTTATATTTTATAATTAAATGACTAATAACTAGATCTATATATTCTATATCTTTCATGACTGAGGTCAGAGAGTTTCTCCGAGGTAACAGCATTTTCTGTTTCTTGTTTGCCTCTAAGAATCCGAATTTCTGTAATATTTCAGTCGCAATAAACAGATGTAAAGAAATGTCACTACACAACATGCCCTTATTAAACTGACAATTTCACGAATAATTATGGCCCCTTTAACATTTGAAGGAACAGCCCTGCCATACAACATCTGTACTACCCTCTTATTTAAAATCTCTGCAGATCCTTGTTAAGCTACAGGAAATCCTCAGTATATCCCTACACAGAAACACCAAATCAACACAACACTCAGAACAATGCTGTGTCCCAAAGGTGAAAATCCTTTGTGTCGTTGTTTGACTGGTGTTCCGTTTCCCCTCTTGTCTGCAAGAGGTCTGATTGAGAGCACATATAACCTTTCCTGGTAAAGGTCAAGTATGAAGTTACAAACGCACACATAACTAAAAGATTATGCAGATATTTTCAACCCAAGAAATGTGTTGAAACCAAAATAAATGTAGGGACTTCTGTGGTTTTTGGTCCTTTTATTCATCAATTGAATCTACAGTATTTCCAATTAGAGATCAAAACCCCTCTCCCTCAGGTATTGCAACAAAGGATGGAACAGCTGAGAAGGACAAAGATTTCCGAGGAAAATCTCAGAAACAGGTCCAGTTCAACCCCGGTCAGACCACGGCGACCTGGAAGGTGAAGATCTTCACAGATCAGGAGTTTGAGACTTCAGAGACGTTCGAGATCCAGCTGTCGGATCCGGTCATGGCGGTGCTCGAGTTCCCCGACCTCACAACAGTCGAGATCGTGGATCCTGGAGATGGTAAGAATATAAAAATGCACTTATGTGAACAAAGCCTCACCGTCATAAACGCAGTCTTTTTCATTTCATTGTTATGCTCAGTTTCTCATCACCTGTATGTCTCTTTCAAAACAGAATCCACCGTCTACATTCCTCAAGCAGAGTACAGGATTGAGGAGGATGTTGGAGAGCTGTTAGTGCCGGTGAGACGCTCAGGAGACGCCAGCCAGGAACTCATGGTTGTTTGTTTCACTCAGCAAGGTGAGAGAAACCCGTTTGTAATTATTGTATTTCAAATGAAAAGGTTTTTATTTGAGTATTTACGCAAAATAGCTCAATTCCATTGTATAAAAAATAAGTACAACATTTCGGCTTTGTCTGTCTTTACATATTTCTCCTTCCTTTCTGATGTTAACTACCCAAAATCTAATTGCCTTTGAGGATTAATAAGGTTTTAATTCATTTAAAAAACATTAAATATCAGACTTTCAATTATTAAAAAGATGCATGTACATGTGAACCTACTTTGTCGTGTATTGTATGTTTTTCAAAGAATTTTTAAAGTAATTTTTTGCCATATTTCCACTTGACACAGGACAGAAATAGTCTAGAAATAGGGGGGAAATGGGTTTGATATGCAACATCCTAAGGCGGGAATCAAAAAGGGACCTTGTGGTTTCACATGTAATATCATGTAATCACTCAGCTACTAAGGCGCTCCACACGTCCATTTTGTATTATTTCCTTTTGTAACATACTGTTACATTACTGTTACATTCTCTGTGTCTATGTTTTGTGTACCCTTTTTCTTTGGCACCCTCTGACTTCATACTGCCAGTAACCCAACATTTCCACTGAAGTTCAACCCTTTATGTCCTCTCTCTGTTCCCATAATTCCTCAGCCACGGCCACAGGCACCATACCCAGCATGGTGCTGTCTTACTCTGACTACATCACCCGTGCCGAGGACCACACCAGTGTGCTGCGTTTTGACAAAGATGAGCGGGAGAAAATGTGTCGCATCATCATCATCGATGACTCCCTGTATGAGGAGGAAGAGAGCTTCAACGTCAGCCTCAGCATGCCCATGGGCGGCCAGCTGGGCGCCAACTTCCCCTCTGCCAAGATCACCATCCTAGCAGACATCGATGACGGTGAGTGAAGTTGGAGTTGAATGCACTCGTCCTTTTGTAAAAAAAAACATTTTTGAATTCAATTTTAAGTGTGTCAATGGTCAGTTTAGGACATTGATGGAAAGGCGGAAAGATACAAGGAAACTACAGATGGATGGTTAAAGAGATAAAAGCAGTGACCTAATGAAATAATTACAGATTGAAACAGATACATTTATTGCTCATTTAAATATGTCTCTTCAGCTTTTCATAAAGTCCTCCAGGTCCTTTTCAAACTACCCACTAACAGCAAACCTACACATGATTTCATACATTTTCATTTATAGATTTACAAGTCACAGAAGTATCTCAGTTCTGAGCATTTGCTAAAAAGTAGGATATCAAAATGCTGGACCAGGCCAGGATAGTGAGCAATAACCTGATTGATGAGCAGATCACAGCATCAATATGCATCAATGCAACATTATGAAAAGAGCAAAATAGTATTCTTACATACCATTGATTGTTGATTTCTGGATGTCTCCTGAATCAAAGCTTAATACAACAGCAGAAACATACTTGTTTGCTGCAACAGATTTATTGCAATTCTGAAACTGATACACACAAATCAACCAAAGCACACACTGAAAAAGATCTCTGCTAAAAAGCTGTCTAACATGAGCATGGAGCCTGAAACACATTGCTTTCATGGTGCTCCATTCAAAGTGAGTGAAGCTTGCCTAAAGGTCAAGGAAGAAGCATGTGCCGTGGTTACAGTGCGCCTGACATCATGGCGGCAGCTGCGGATGATCCTGTTGCTCAGCTTGTGCCTTTGATGCTGTATTTTGCCATTTTGGTATCAGCACATCATTAATCCATCAAAAGTGCACAGGCGGCATAAAAACCACAGTCGCCAAAACAAAACCCCGGGATACTGTACATGCCTTATTGGCTTTACTGTATTTTAGGGTCCATTACTCTTCCTGTGCCGGGAACGGATTTGTTTACACACTCCGCTTCATTTATCCTCCTTATTTGTCTCTGTCTGTCTGAGTGTTGGTAACAAGATAACAATAGGCAGGTGTTGAGAGGGAGAATGGCGGCTTCAGTTGATGTTACGCTACACCACAGTGTAACAGATAAAAGGGCTTTAAACCTCACTCTGCTCCTCCAGCGACCCCCAGTCCTCGTTGGCATTCAGGGGAGCTCAGGGGAAACAGAGGGCATCCCTTTGTCTGCGGGGACCAAAAGGCAGGTGGTGGAGACAGGGACTATTGTGAAGAGAATCCAAATGACTGGCATGTTTTTACTCTGGACTGCATTGCCTGTTCCTGTTAAAGATAGGACTGAGAAGGAATGCTGTTTTTAAAGCTATAAATTACAAATGTGTCATAGGTTTCATTTGTTCCGTCAAAGAAATGTCCTAACAAATTTGACAAATTGTCCACACAAAATACTTAAAATCCTTGAGGTAAATCTTGTCTTCCTTTTGCGAGTCTTCGTCCCATTTCTCCAGCATTTCTTCCAGGCTCATTTCCTGGAGTTGCTTGTTGTAGTGACAGACGTGCTACTGGAGCAAGCATCCCTCACAACCAATTTGGCACAGGAGTACAATTGAACTTTATGTATAAATAATCAGCGGGCATTCCCAGACATGTGAAAAGACAAGAGAAGACTCCTCTATTGTGGTTTAACTTCTTGGTGGGTCCTGAAGTAACACCCCATCATAAATCTGGTTCAGAGTGTGTGTTTGTGCGTGTGTAAAACCATCTGCCTGTCTGAGTAAACTTGTGGTTTGGACTCTGGCCAACACCGAGCCTCCATTGTTACTGTATTTGTGTGGCTCTTCTTCCCACTGATATTTAAGGTTGCCATGTTGGCACTCATTCCTCCATACAACCCCCTTTCTCATCCTCCCTGCTACTAAATAGCTGTCATGGAGGCTGAGAGGCATTAAGAGTGTGCCATAAATCCATCCAGCATCAGTCGTCTCTCAACTTCTGAAAAAGACCTGCCAATTTGTTAAAAGCAACACTAACTGAGAACAAATAAAGTGATTGGGAAAACTGAGGTTTTTCAACCTATGGTTATAAAACTTTACCATATCCCACACTGATTCATTGCTACATATAACTTTCTATGCATTTGTGAATGCATGAAAACTGCAATTTCTATTTGCTTTTTTGTTGTTATTGTGTTATTTGATCAGCCTTAACAAGGCTATGGGCCATAAATACTTCAGGGTGAAAACAAATGTTGCAGAACAGTAGACACAGTGACATTTACAGTATGAGATAAAGGATAAATAAGATAATGTCAGTTACATGACTCGGTAATGTCAGTTATCCAGCAATATCTTATTAGCTAACATCAGCCACCATAAGTTACCGGTCATCCTATTGGACAATATAAGGCTGTAGCAGCAACAAACACTGAGCCATTACGCCACAACTGTGGACTAGAAAATACACTTAGCATTTTCAAAGCTATTAGTTTCTTACCTAATACTTGCAAACCATTTATAAAGCCTTATTTTGAATTGGCATTAATCCATTTCCCACAGAAACTCCCACAATCCCTCTGTGTGTACCCTTTCTTCCTTAGTTGAAGGAAAGCTAAAGGCGTCTCTATCAGAGGATCTCTAAGAGCACTGGCTGACAGTGTGCTGAAAACACTCTTTATGTCCTTATACAGAAGTGAGGAGAGATGAATTGACAATGTGTCCAGGGCTCTGAATTCTTGCCCTCTGCCTGTGCAAAGTGGACGGTTGTCTCTCTGCCTCTGCCAAACCCTCAGCACACTGCTTATCAGCTGCTCTATGATCAGACACTGGGAACATCCCCTCACTCCTGTGCACACACAAGCACACGCCTATTTCATCAGGTGTATCCCCGGCCCTTTGGCGTTGAGTTCAGACAGAGCTGTCTGGATTTAGATAAATTGGGGAGGAAGGTTGGGAGAGGATAGGATAAGAGGGATGAAAGCTCTCTTCCTGTGCTGAGTCAAAAATTAGGGACTTTGCTCAGCTACTCATGCCAATTTGTCCTCGATTAAAAGCTTAGGTTGCTATGTCTGTCTGACAAGAGACGAAAAACAGCAGAACTGATGAAAAGACAATATCCGGATTAAGACAAAATGTCATGTTCGTAGACATATGATTTTTTTTTTCTGGATTTACCACGCTTGATATCCAACTCAAATTACTCTATACACTGTATTCCTGTTTTAAAGTTGATGAGTTTTTTTTTAAAGGGCACCATGTCATTCAACCCCTGTACTTTGGTTTTATTCCCAAACCCCACAGAGCCTTCACTGTATTTCGGGGAACCTGAGTATGTTGTGGAAGAGAGTTCAGGCTACGTTGAGGTGAAGGTCTGGAGGACGGGAACAGACCTCTCCAAGACGGCTACAGTCACCGTCCGCTCCAGGAAGAGTGAGCCTGTCTCTGCAGAAGGTACACTCAGCTGTAAGAAACACTGTTCAGTCATGATTTTAGCATTACAGCGTTAGTTCATGGTTTCCTCTCTATTATGCAGCTGGACTGGATTACGTTGGCATCAGTCGAAACCTTGACTTTGCTCCTGGAGTGACGATGCAGACGTTCAGAGTGACCATCCTGGATGATCTGGGTCAGCCGGAGCTGGAGGGGCCGGAGACCTTTGACCTTGTGTTACGGATGCCCATGAATGCTGTTCTGGGAGAACCGAGCAGCACCATCATCACCATCAATGATACAGTCACTGACGGTGAGTTTCCAATATAGTGTGTGCCAAAATTACGGTAACGTAGTGCAAATTTGAGTCCAGTAACTTCACCTAGACGCAGGGAAACTGTTTTGTAACAAGTTGATATTTGTCTTTACAGTGCCGAAGGTTCAGTTTAAGGAGGGAAGCTACAAGGTGGATGAGGCCGATGGGGAGGTAACAGCCATCGTGTACCGCAGTGGAGATATCAGCCTCGCCTCCACAGTGCGCTGTTACACTCGCCAAGGCTCGGCTCAGGTCATGATGGACTACAGTGAGAGACCCAACACTGACGCATCAATCATCACTTTCCTGCCAGGTGAGACCTCCCCTCTGCTTCTAAATCTCTCTGTATCGTTACATCCCGCAGCACTTAACTGAGTGTGATGGCCACTCTTTCCCCAGGCGAAACTGAGAAGCCGTGCGTGGTCAGCCTGATGGACGACTCCACCCATGAAGACGACGAGGAGTTCAGGCTGGTCCTGGGAAATCCAAAGAGCAAGTCTCCGTATGGAGCCGCTGTGGGGGAGCAGAAGGAGGCGCTGGTGTCAGTCACAGACACCAAGGACAGTACGTACTCTAAAATATATGCAATATAAACATCACATATATTTGAATGACTGTTTACTAGGATTCATGCTCCAAGCAGGCTGAGTATAAGCAGAATATACATTAAAGACTACATATATCTATATTTACATCATAACAAATATACATTTATCTTTATGCACACTTAATCCTACTAGTACATTCACATATGACAAATACAGTCATACACTTGCATACAACGTTGTACGCATAAAAACGCCATAAATAACTAAATAAAACACAACCAAACAAAAAGAAAAGCTGAATGTAGTGTTTCTGCTTTCATTTAATTTGCATTGAAAAGACGGTATTGTCAACGTTTCTTTTATAATGTTTTGAGTATTCTCACATTCTACTCTGTGCATTTGAGAGAAAAAACATGTCTTTGATGTTTTGGCTCATGTTCATTTTGAATTTTCTTCCTGTCCAGGGCCCATAATCCGCTTTTCTGAGATCAAGTACAGTGTGCGTGAACCTCAGGTCAAAGGTGACATGGCGATAGTGAAGATTCCCATCCTGCGCGTTGGAGACACATCAAAGGTCTCACTGGTGAGAGTGCACACCAAAGACGGCTCTGCGACCTCCGGAGAGGACTACAACCCGCTGTCAGAGGGTGAGAACATGGTGGAGTGGCTAAAAAGTGACGCAGTCGCTTGTTTTGAGGTATTTGTGTTTATAACCATTGCTCTCTTCACTGTCTCTGTGTCTAAGATGTTGAGTTCAAAGCCGGTGAGACGGAACACTTCGTGGAGATCGAGATCCTGTTTGACGGTCAGAGAGAGATGAGAGAGGCCTTCATTGTGCACATGAAGCCTGATGACAACATGGTGGCTGAAGTACAGGTGACACAATCGCAACATACACATTGCTGCAACTCTTATGTGCACACGTACAGCGCTGCATATGTACAAACGTGAGCATGCGCCCCTGTCAGGTCAGCCTGTGTTGAAAATAGCCAGGCAGCAGCTGGCATTGCTGTCAGCGCGCCTGAACCACGGAGTCTTATAAAAAGCTTCTCCCTCTGGAATGAGATGCTGAGAGGAATGTCCCAGCAGAGCCAAACAGTAGATAAACCTATAAACAGAATGGCGACATACAACCCATACATCAGACATGTACCACTCACGTGACAAACTCAAATATGTTAGGTAACAGAGTTTGAGGAAAGAAATCTGTTGGAGGAAGGATGGAAAGATGTTGTACTTAACCTTTAGTGAAGTGTGTCGGATTTAAAATCAGTTTCTCAACATGCTTCCCTTCTTCTTGCCAGATGAACAAGGCCATTGTGTACATTGAGGAGATGGACAGTGTGGCAGATGTTACCTTCCCTGCCGTGCCGCTGGTGGTTTCCCTGCTCATGTACGATGACACAGTTAAAACCAAAGAAACACCCAACCCGGCCAATGGATACCCTGTTGTGTGTGTGACGGTAAGTGTAGCGCTTCTGATGTGAAGCAGCTTTTGTTTTTACTTTATCTCCACCTTTGCAACAAGCATTGTAAATACCTGAGGTCTTTTTACAGTGCCATTCAGATACATTACATCATTTGTCATTCATCTATTCGCCTGCAAAAAAATATTTCCTTTTTTTCTGTCATTTTAAACAGTTTTTGGATTTGTTCTCTGTTTTTGTTTTTATTGGCGTTTGAATGCAATGTTTTCTTGTGCCAATGTAGAGCACTTGCTTTGAATTGCCTCGTCTAAATTTAGCTCTTTAAGTCACATTTTCTGCTTTTCCTTCTATAGCCTTTTTAGACTCACGTATATCCCCACCTTTCTTTAATTGAAATCTGTCTTGTTATCCCTTGCAGGCTTGCAACCCTAAGTACCACGATTTCGACAAAACCGGCTCCATCTGCTCTGTGGAGAACATCAACGACACGCTCACTCAGTACCGCTGGCTGGTCAGCGCCCCCACCGGCTCTGATGGAGTGACCAGCCCCATGAGGGAGGTGGACACCAACACCTTCTTCACCAACACCAAGTCCATCACTCTGGATTCCATCTACTTCCAGAGCGGCTCACGGGTTCAGTGTGCAGCGAGAGCCTTCAACGCCAACGGAGACGCCGGTCTGGAGATGTCCAGCCCCATCGCTGTGGTCAGCAAGGAGGAGGGTGAGTGAAGCATGATGGGGAGGCTTGTCAACATCGTTATGTTATACTCTTATCGTACAATATATGGACATGACCACAAGTGTTTTTTGCCAACCTAGTTATTACCCATTGTATCCAAATGATATTTTAAGGAAGAATTCCCGTGTCTGAATATTCTTAGGAATTCAAGTTAATTTCTCTCTTAAAGGGTGTACTTGCATTATAATGCTATTATAAGATGATTGAACTGCTATATGTTTAGCTGACTTCTGACTCTTTGCAGGTATGTGTCAGCCTCGTATCGCAGGCACTGTTGGAGCCGAACCTTTCTCTGCTAAGATCCGCTACACCGGTCCAGATGACCCGGACTTCCCCAACCTCATTAAACTGACCATCAACATGCCTCACATGGATGGTGAGCAGCAAACAGTTGTTGCATATATGGTCTTAAATGGCTAGTAAGCTAATCTAGACCAAGACTTACCACGCTCTTCACTCTCAACAGGCATGTTACCAGTGATCTCCACCAGACCTCTGTCCAACTTCGAGCTCACCCTGAGCCCAGACGGCACGCGCGTTGGCAACCATCGCTGCTCCAACTTGCTCGACTTCAATGAGATACAAACAGGCTACGGGTTCATCACCGATGCCACAAAGAACCCTGAAATCATTGGCGAGACTTCCCCCTACCAGTACAACCCGGCCATGCGCTCTGCCAACTCTCTGCGCTTCTACAAGAACCTGAACCTGGAGGCCTGCCTCTGGGAGTTCACCAGCTACTACGACATGTCAGAGCTGCTGAACGACTGTGGAGGCTCCGTAGGCACCGATGGACAGGTAGGACACACATAAATTGACAACAAATAAACAACGTTTATCAATCAGTGGAGACACTCTCTGGGTCACAGTAAATATCAGCAAATTCTTTAAAGCAAAGTTCACTTGGGAACTAACTTCCCCTCTGATTGATTTTTAACTATTGTAGCTTATTAGCTTTGCATTGTTCCACCACCAACTTCTATTTTAACTTCTCTGATGGACACAGCTCCTAAAAAGAGGAATAGTTGCAGGCAGTTATGTGATAGTACACATTTATATTAAGGAACTGTTTGAACCTCCTTTTTCTTTAGCAATTGAGCTATATAGCTTGCTAGCAAACAGTCACTGACAGTTAGCAAGCTAGCTAGCACACAGAGCTAAGTTAAGTTACCACTTTGCTGGGAATGAACAGGGCTTGGTCTCAAACTTTTCTTTATACATCGATCCACGCCAGCTACAGTTGTCTCACAGCTAGTCACTGTCATTCCTGTAAAGATGCATATTTTAGGAAAATGTGCAAATACATTTTTGTGTGGCACTTTTTGTTAACAGGCCTTCAAATGTACACAGAGATACTACTTCACATCCAATATACATCAACTACTAAACTATCCATCTTACATAACTTGACAATGCCTGATTCATGTCTTATTTAGGTGCTGAACCTGGTCCAGTCCTACGTCACGCTGCGTGTTCCTCTGTTCGTGTCCTACGTCTTCCACTCTCCGGTGGCAGTGGGGGGGTGGCAGCACTTTGACCTGCAGTCAGAGCTCAAACTCACCTTTGTGTACGACACAGCCATTCTGTGGCAGGACGGCATCGGCAGCCCACCTGAGGCTGAGCTTCAAGGTATGTTTTCAGAGCAACGCTGCCTCCTGCTGGCGCTCACAGTCCATTTGTGAAGCACTGTTCAACTTTGTTCTCTCTTCTCATAGGGGCCATGTACCCAACCAGCATGCGTATAAATGAGGAGGGCCGTCTGGTGGTCAACTTCAAGACGGAAGCCCGCTTCAGGGGACAGTTTGTTATGTCTCATCCAGGTAAGACGGTGGTGCCCACACAGACACAGACACAGACACACACACACACACACACACACACACACACACACACACACACACACACACACACACACACACACACACACACACACACACCTATGCAAGGGGTCATTCTATACAGCGACCTCCTCTTGGATTACCTTGTGGTCGACTTCCTCTCTATTCCTGGAGTTCCACATTGGGGGTCCTTCCTGTGTGAAAGTGCCAGGGNTATCAGAAAAAACACCACACACACACACACACACACACCCTACACCTATGCAAGGGGTCATTCTATACAGCGACCTCCTCTTGGATTACCTTGTGGTCGACTTCCTCTCTATTCCTGGAGTTCCACATTGGGGGTCCTTCCTGTGTGAAAGTGCCAGGGGTCATTCCAGCAAATGTAAAAATGACCCTTCAGCGTTTACAGTTAGGAAGCAAGTGTTACGAACTATGTAGAAGGTCACTCTTTAAATAAATAAAAAGTAGACACTGTTACTAGTTGGTTTCATGAAATGCAACTTCAATGATTTATGACTGTTTTCATATTTGTTTTTGCTGATTTAAATGCTTTCATTGTAAAGTAAACAAAATAAAACCGCGTAACCATACAAGACACAAAAAGAACACTCAATAAAAAATAAAATATTATAATATTTTATAATATTAAAATATATATATTATATTTTATAATATAAAAAATAAATAAAATTGATGAAATACAATTATCAGAAATATATCAAATTGATTAAATAAAAATATAAAAAATAAATCAAATGGATTAGATAAAAATNAGTCTTACCCGTCTTCCTCTTCATTCAGGTCATCACCAACTGGATCGAGCCGCCTAAGAGAGAGAGGAAAGCCAACTACGCTGTGGACGCTTACTTCAGAGAGGCCCTGAGAGTCAGTGAGCCCAAAGCACCGAAGGTAGGGGCCATCACTTTACAAACACCCTTAAGTCCTAAAGCATTAACGCTGCAGAAAGTTCAATTACAATGTTTTTATTACATTTATGCACACTTATGTAAATGTATTTAACCCTTAGATGCACGAGTAACTGGACCCTACACTCTTCCATAAGTGGGTCAAAAAGGACCCGTATTAGAATAATGTGTTTTTCCAATTTTGTCATTTTGGTTAAGAGAAATGACTTGGTTCACACTAGAAATATTTTATATTTAATTTTTCACTATTTATAATTTTAGACCTTTTTTACATTTTGAAAAAAAAAACGGAAATTCCATAGAAAATGCATGCGGGTCATTTTTGACCCACTTATGGAAGCTTGGGGTAGAAATATAAAAACTACAATTTCTTAAAATGTACATTTAAAATTTGAATGGCATGATATCCAAAACATGTTTTTTGAGGAATAGCTGGAATATGAAATGATAAAAAAGTGTAATTACAAAGATACTCTAAGAAAACCACCTCACCGGGTCAAAAAAGACCCACTTATGCATCTAAGGGTTAACGTGTTCATTCAAATGCTCAACGCTTCACTGTGATATCTTGTTTCAACAGTTTGTGTGAATCCTGTTTTTAACTATAAATGCCTGAATTTCCCCAAGGGGATCAATCAAGTTCCATCTTATCTTATTATTTGTGTGTATTTCTCCTGGTTGAGGTATTACATGTGTTTGTGTGTTTCCCATTTCCCAGGCTCCTCGTCCCCCCAAGCAGCCAAATGTGCAGGACTTCCAGTTCTTCCCTCCACGTCTTTTTGAGCTCCTAGAAAAGGAAATCCTCTTCTACAGGAAGACCATCGGCTACAAGGTACCAAGATATTTTTCACATGAGAAAGACATCATTTGTTAGGAAGTGGAAATGTCTCTAAAGCACATGTGTCAAACTCAAGGCCCGGGGGCCAAATCCTGGCCGTGGTGGATTTAATTTCGGCCCGCAGGATAATGTTTAATTACTATTAGATCTGGCCCGCCGGTATGTTCCACGCACACCTTCACTCAACCCTGAGGGTCTCCTCAGCTCAGAGCCTGACCCCAAACGTTTATGAACTTGCACCCGAGATGAGATGCCAAGTATCTGCTTGAACTAGCATCACAGAGCAGCACACTGAGTTTACATGGATGTTTCCTTCTGCACTTTTTCTCTCACGACAACAGGGCATGTTTGTTTTTTTCTTTGAGGGAAATAGTTTTGTTGAAGCTGTTAAAATGTAATCATAAGAAATGACTCCGGAAAAGCTGCAGATAGAGCCATGAGAAATGAATGCAACTGATTATTTAATGTTTAATGTTGTTTTTATAGCCAATCATTTAAGCTTTGTTAGTTCCAGGTTTAATATGTGCAATAAGTTCATTTCAATAAGTTCTGCAATAAACATTGAACCAGTCCGGCCCTCGACGAGTACCCATTTTTTTATGTTGGCCCACTGTGTATTTGAGTTTGACCCCCCTGCCCTAAATCATTCTGTGGCTGCGTCTCTTCAGGTGCCCCGTAACCCAGAGATGCCAAACTCTGCCACGCTCCAGAAGGAGGAGCAGGGTAAGATCGACGAGGCGGAGGCGCTCACAGAGGAGGAGCTGGAGGAGAAGGAGAACCTGCTTCAACAGGTACGGATCCTTCCCCCTGAGTACTCTACATGTGTGCTTAATGTGCGGCCGAGTCAAGTTTGAAATGCTTTGTGTCTGGATCTAGATTGAGCATATTTGTAACATCTGTACCTTGGTTGCAGGGATTCACCATTTGGAACAAACGTGACTTCAACCAGTTCATCAAAGCCAACGAGAAGTGGGGAAGAGATGATATTGAGAACATTGCCAGAGAAGTCGAGGGAAAAACTCCAGAGGAAGTCATGGAGTATTCTGGTAACAACTCGTTTTTGACCCTCTATTCTACAAGCAAACTTTTAATGTCTTTGCTTATTTAGACATTTATTTGCTTGTTTGTTCCTCCAGCTGTGTTCTGGGAGCGCTGTAACGAGCTGCAGGACATCGAGAAGATCATGGCGCAGATCGAGAGAGGAGAGGCCAGGATCCAGAGGAGGATAAGCATCAAGAAAGCACTGGACTCAAAGGTAGCCATCTTACCATTCATCTCTCGTAACGACTTCATCTCATGAAGCATTGTGTTGAACACCAACTCTAAATCTGATCTTCTAATCGTCTCCACATCATCCTCTCTTCCATCCTTATTAATGAATGAACACTCCCTTCATCTCCTTGCCCAGATCGGTCGCTACAAGGCTCCCTTCCACCAGCTGCGCATCTCTTACGGCACCAACAAAGGCAAGAACTACACGGAGGAGGAGGACCGCTTCCTCATCTGCATGCTCCACAAGCTGGGCTTCGACAAAGAGAGCGTGTACGACGAGCTGCGGCAGTGCATCCGCAACTCGCCTCAGTTCCGCTTCGACTGGTTCCTGAAGTCCCGGACGGCCATGGTAAATGCTGGCTTCTTGGTGCTGTTCTTCTTTTCTTTTTGTGCATGTTGCCTACAAATGAAAAATGTTGTTTGTTATTGTGTGTGTAGGAGCTCCAGAGGCGATGCAACACTCTGATCACACTGATCGAGAGAGAGAACATGGAGCTGGAGGAGAGAGAGAAGGCCGAGAAGAAGAAACGCGGCCCGAAGAATGCCTCAGTAAGTTACCAAAGAACTACAGGAAGCAGCAAGGCACTTTGATGTCAAATAAAAAAGTAATTATGTCTGTGGCTGGGGAGTTTTTTTTGGGAAGTTTTTCCAACCACCATGGAGTGTCAGAAAAGTAATCTTCTGACAGCCTGTGAAGTGGCCCTTTAATGCTTTTTAGGGGTTTCCCTTTCCTGTAGTGTGGTAGGTTGTTATGCATGTAAATGGTCTGCAAAGGCTAAAATCACAAAGTTACCTCCATAGGGAGTTTCTCTACCACACACTTCCCCCCCCCCCCCGCCTGAAACGCCTCCATTGAAGTCCTTTGTTTACTTCCAAAACGTAGTGACATCACTTTGTACCGATAGCTCTCCAACACCTTTTTTATGTGAAGGGCTAAGGGGCGGGACATTTTAGCGGTTGACTGATCACAACAGAGCCAGCCAGCTAACCAATCAGAGCAGACTGGACTCTGGTTTCTGACTCACATTAGGGGTAACACTCCTTTGTGGTGACTGACTGTCAAAATAAAATAGTTAATTAAGTCCTGCAAGTCTGTCCTGGAGAATCTTATGGTGTTTGAATGTGGCAGAACGCTCATTACTATAAAGTATTTAGGTCACCCAGCCCTGTTTTTGTCTGGTTCACAGTGAGTTATGTCACTGCTTGTGAAATGTTCCTTTTAATAATATTCTTTTCTTACCCTAGGCCCAGAAACGGAAGTCAGACGCGACCCCAGATGGCCGTGGACGCAGGAAAAAGCTGAAGTTGTGAAGCCGTTAACGACTCGAATCTACCGAGTCAGAATCTGAGGTGGCAGCCAGCTCCGTATCGTTAGTCCTAGTGTTTGCTCTGCAGACTGTGATAATGTGTAAACCCCCGACGGACTGACTTTGTTCTTTAGGTTTTAGGGAGTGAAGCCTGCCTTTTCACTTACCTGAACTCTGCAGCTGTGCTGGTTTAGTTTGTATTGTTTGCTAGTCCTTTTATTTTTTCTAGTACTTCATTGAAATAAATGTATTTATGCCTGTTGGTTGTACCACATTCCATTGCTCAAAACAATATGTACCATTTTAAAGAAAACATTTGTTCTTTTATCTTCCTATGTGAAGTGGAAAATGTATTTTAAAGTCACAAATAAACCTTTTTTTTTTTTTTTTAAATACGTGTGTGATAAATAAGACACTGATTCAAAAAAAGGACATTTTATATTTGGCCGATGAAGTGTACATACATCCAAACTTTTGAAATTGTCACAATTAATAAGCCATAAAAGTCTACTAACAAATGGCACAATAAAATATACTATCAGCTGTAGAAGAACAGTTTTATAATGCACTTTTTTTTTTTCAGGACTTGATTGACAAACCAGAAAGACAGTTCATATTTTTTCAAGTTTCACCAGGGTGTAGTAATACCGTTTTCATTGTCCTACATTGATATGTACACAGATAGTTTTGAATCTGATTTCAGCCACATTGACCTGAAAAGAATAGTTATTTAAACAAAAAAAGAAAAATATAATAATTCTGCATTCTCAAGACTACAATGTACAATCCCTTTCAATGACACAACATCGGCATTGTTACTAAGCGGTGGGCAGATATACTGCAGGCTCTTTAAGCCCTACAGTTAAATATTACAAATCATTTATCACATTCTCATTCATAAGGTCAGCTTCAACTAACATTCAATCCATTTTGCTTTACTCTCCACAAAATAAAATAACGCCAATAAAAAAAACGTGATAAAGTATTATCTTTTAAGGAGGAACATAGACAATTTGAAGCAACTTAGCCTTTTAACTCTTGTATATAATTGCATCTACTCAATAAGGATTTCTAGGCATTTGCAAATGCTGCATGAAGCGGGATATTTTACAACTTGACAACCAAAGAAGCACGTGAATAAGTGTGAGGGGCTTCTTTGTACATCCATGATTCAAAATAGGCTGCACAAACCTATATCTCACTACAGCAAGAACTAGCCATCGTCAGAGGTCAACAAGACCCCTCCCTCTGGCGCGTTCTCTGCATGCAGGCCCCCCCGAGCACTGACACTGTTCTGGGCTCGATTCAGTGCTACAAGAGTCGGGCTTTAAAGGCACAATGGTGGAGGAGACTATCAGTCTTTTTAAGAGGGGGCAGGCGTTTGAGGTGGAGGGATCTAGACCTCAGAGTTGTCTGCGCTGCTCCACATTCCCCCTGTGCCTGAGCTGTAGGCCGAGGAAGAGGAGGTGGTGTAGGGGGGGAACTGGGCCTTCTTCTCCTTCTTCTTGCGCCGCAGCAGCAGGATGACGGCGGTGGCGATGAGGCAGATGAGGAGGATCAGCCCGGCGATGCCCACCAGCATGGGCAGGGTGGAGGAGTCGGCCAGCTCTCTGCCCGAGCTCTCCAGCAGGGGGCGCTCCAGCAGGGGGTCTCGGTTGTTGGGGGACCAGGGCTGGCGCTGGCTGACCACCATGCGGTCGGCTCGGTCCAGAGAGATGTGCTGGATGTTGGTGCCTCGGTTGTTTTCGATGCCGATGTCCTGGACGGCAACGGCGGCGTTAGAGAAGGTGGGGGCAGCGCGGCGGTGGCGGTCTGAGAGCAGCACGGAGGTGTCGGGCTGCTCCACCGAGGAGATGCTGTGGTGCAGATACTCCACGCTGCGCTTGCCTATGTTGCGGCGGGCGTTTTCTTTGGAGCGCACGGTGTAGATGGTGTGGATGAACCATTCTCTACCAGCAGCAACCTGCAGGACACACAACATTTAGAGTTCATATTGCATGGTTTTTGTACAAATGTGTATGTCAGGGGTGTCAAACTCAAGGCCGGGGGCCAAATCCGGCCCGTGACTTCATTTTATGTGGCCTGCAAGAGCTTGCAAAGAATATAATACGTTTATTATACGGTTACATGCCACTTTACAGAAGCAGGTTGCCCATAAACTACATGTCCCACAATGCATCTCGTTTTGTGACATGCCCACTGAAGAGACTTGCAATTATTTGCCCTGGACTTCTGCTTTCAGACGTAGTTAATTACTAAGTTATTATCCTATCCAATAATAATCCAATGCAGAGGCAATAATATAATACATTATTTCATATATATTATGTATTTATATATGTATATTTATAAAGTTACAACCGGCCCTTTGATTGGAACCATAATGCTAATGTGGCCCGCCATGAAATTGAGTTTGACACCCCTGGTGTATGTTGTCAATGGGATTACAAAAAATCTAAACTGAATACTTCGGGATTACTTTAAAATCAAACATTTGAAAATATCCACCTTATTAAAAAAAAAAACACAAAATAGGACCTCAATATAATTGTTTCCCTTAATATGACAACCTTTTTTTAATGCAAATAGACACAGTTTTGTATTTTGGGAACTACAGTTGGCCAAATCAAATTACCCTGAATAAACAGTTCTGGCACACACTACATCTGTGTGACATGCTTTTCATTAGTTATCACCATTGCTTGACATACAAAAAAAGTTTTTAAGATATGAAATACTTGAACTGCTTTATCTGACATGCTATGAAGTGTTTCTTGACAATGCGGCTATACTATAACACATTTTCAAATGTAGTCTGGGCTGATTATTATTAATATCATAACCTTATTACATTACACTTGTTACTACTAAACCCTGTGTATGGCTTTTTGGGATACATGAATAAAGTGAGTTTTTATAAATGATACACACCTGGAAGAGTGGAGACGAGGAGAGTGTGAAGCCGTCTGATCCTGGCTGTCTTGCTAAAGGCAGACCTCCGGGTGTGTCCAGAGCCAGCGTGGCCTTGAAGGAAACGTCACCAAACACTGAAGCCTGAGTCTCTGGCTGGGCCTTGTCCTGCAGAACAAAACACACAGAAATCAGAAATAATTCCACAACTCCCTGAGCATTATACATTGTTTTCATTAACAGTTCTCACACACTGATACCTTTACATCCAATTATTTGTACCTTAGCATCACAATTATCACCATGAAGACATGCCTAACCACACACTGGTTTTTATTTATTTGTATTTTAGCAGGTTGTTTGTCCAATTCCATTTTGTTATGATTTTATAAGCTATTCTAAGCTTTTACTAGATATTTGTATTTATTTAATTGCATTTAAAGCACTTAAATTAGTGTTTTAAAGTGTGTCCATTTATGATACTGACTAAAGTATTGTCCTTAAGGATTAATTCGTACCAGGATCTTGAATCTGTAGAGCAGAGAGGGGGCGTCTGCCAGGCAGCCGAACTCCTTGTTGGTGGGGTTGTATTTGGGAACGTATCCATCTGCTCCGGTGCAGAGGAAGACTTTCTCGATGCCGCAGGAGAACGAGTCGCCCAGGTTCTGGACCGGATCCACCATCACACGGCCGTAGATCATGGAGCCTGAACAAACAAATGTAATGTTAAGTAGGAAATAGCAGCTTCTCAGAGGAGTAATGGTCCTCCACTGCTGTAATGTTTAATAAATCCACAAGGCGGCGGTGTTGTACCGTCTAAAAAAGCAGTATCAGTCCCCTCTCCGAAGCCCATGGAGCCGTCAGACAGCCACAGCTCCTTCTTGGACAGCAGGAACATCTGAGTGTTGAGACTGAACTCTGCTGCCACTGGGTCACTAACCTGGAGGACAGAACAACAGTTAGCAAACACACAACATATCCTGGGTTAATACATTATTTAATATAGCTATTCTATTTTATTTGTATTTACTTACACTATTTTATTGTGTTGCACTGTTGGAGGAGCCTGTGACCTAAGATTTTCATTGACATATCTACACTGTAGCTAATGTACGAATGACAATAAAAGCCTTGAATCTAAGTATCATTTATAAATCATCATCTTAGGGAACAAGGATTCATATAATTTGGATTTCTTTTGTCCGCTTACATAACATTTGTACTAATATCAACTGATGAAAAACCAAATAATATATAATTGATAAAATTAAGATCTTAGACTATAAATAATTGTTAATTTTTGTAGTGTCATTTTGAAAAAAGGGCATCATGCTGGGCGATGTTTGTTTATATATGAAGGCTGACCTGCTGGAAGCGGATGTCCATGTCAAACGTTAGAGGCTCTCTGGGATGGCAGACAGGAGGAACACTGAACTCCCCGTTGGGTGATGCCATGCAGGAGATCAACTTCACAGTGTAGGTCCCGGAGTAATCTCTGACCTAAAAGTCCCACAGAAACATAGAAACAATGTTAAACACTGTCATTGAAGTTCATTCCAATGCAGCTGGCAAGCCTTTACTGCAGATCCACTCACAGCAAAGTCTGAGACGAAGCTCCACTGCTGCATGGGCTGGTTGTAGGTGGGCTCCGTCCTGACCAGAGCCAGAGTGAAGGTCAGCCCGGGGTGGTCCGCACACATCACCATGGAGGACATGCTGGTCCCTGAAAACACACATGTAGACAGTGTGAGGCTGGGTTTGGGTTTTTCTTCTTAAGCAAGAACTGTTTGCATCTGAATGTGTTCATGTTATAGTAGTAGTGTTATTATTGTTGTTACTTGTATTAATTACTTTAAATTAATTTATGTAATATGTAAATTATTATTGTTTTCAATTATTCATTTATTTGTGTTAATTTATTGATTATATTTATATTTTTATCTAATCCATTTTATTTATTTTTTATATTTTTATTTAATCAATTTGATATATTTCTGATAATTGTATTTCATCAATTTTATTTATTTTCTTGAGACTGCCAAGGCACACNATGGGTCAAAAAAGACCCAATTATGGAAGCTTGGGGTAGTAATACAAAAAGATATCATGCCATTCACATTTTAAATGTTATACATTTTAAGAAATTGTAGTTTTTGTATTACTACCCCAAGCTTCCATAATTGGGTCTTTTTTGACCCATTGAGGTGGTTTTCTTGAAGTATCTTTGTAATTACATTTTTTTATCCTTTCATATTCCAGCTATTCCTCAAAAAACATGTTTGAATATCATGCCATTCAAATTTTAAATTGACATTTTAAGAAATTATAGTTTTTGTATTTCTACCCCAAGCTTCCATAAGTGGGTCAAAAATGACCCACATGCATTTTCTATGGAATTACGTTTTTTTTTCAAAATGTAAAAAAAATGTCTAAAATAAAAAATAGTGAAAAATTAAATATAAAATATTTGTAGTGTGAACCAAAAATATAACACTAAATATTATACAAGTGATTTTTCTGAACCAAAATGACAAAAATGGCATACAAATATAATTATTCTAATACGGGTCCTTTTTGACCCACTTATGGAAAAGTGTATGGTCCAGTCACTCGTGCATCTAAGGGTTAAGAAAATACTAAAAGGGATGGAGATCTGAGAGAAAGACCAGAAAGGCAAAGAGTATCATACAGTATAAAAGACAATCACAATTAATATTTATAAAGAAAGAAACAGAAGGGAGGAAATCATGATAGCTAGACTCAGACTGGATCACAGAGCATTGCATAGTACTCTGTATGTCATGGGGAAAAGTAACAGTGACAAGTGTGGGAACTGTGGAGTTAAAGAAAATGTCTTATTACATTGTGACATCTATAAAGCTGAAAGAGAAAAACTAAAGGATTAAGTTATAGAGGCAGAGAGGGAGTGCAATGTGGTTGGTATTCTGGGAACAGAAGGAGTAAGAGCTACCAGAAAGGCACTGTTTACCTTTCTGAGTGAAACTGGGGTAGGTAAAATAATCTAACATTAGGATAGAATAGATCATGGATTTTTGTTTTGTTTTATTTATTTTATTTTTGTTTAGTTTATGGATATATAGACGTCCATGAGTTGAGTGATGGAATGACATGATGATACACACTCATGTACAGTAGGTGGCGGTATGCAACTAAAAGCTGTTTGCGACCCGCCATTAAAATAGAAAGAGAAGAAGAAGAAGAAGAAGAAACGGAGTTACAACCCTATTGTAAGCAGTGTATGATTGAAAGTATGTCTAAAGTAGACATGTTGAGAGAGGTGGTGAGCGAGCGTCTCACTGCGGCGGCTTTAGAGATATTCGGGCTGTTTGAGAGAACCGTGGCTGAATATGAAGAACAACTCTGTCGTTCTAAAGAGGAGAACGAGCGGCATCGGAAACTTCTGGACGCTGTTCTGAAGCCGGAAGTCCGTTTACACAGAGCAGGTCAGAAACTAAACTTCATAAACTACTGTTTGTTCTATTCCTGTGCCATTACCCTGCTGAAAAAAACAGCTTAGACCATCTAAGTTGACCAGCTAGTAGATGGGTTGGCTGGTTTAGAGAGGTTTTGGACAATTTAGCTAGCCAGGATGGCTGGTGCCAGCTAAACCGGCTAAACCAGCTACCAGCTAAACCAGCGATCCTGGCCTGCTCAAGTGTCCAAAACTTCACGACGCTGAAGTTGGCTTCCGATTCAGAGCATCCGATTCGGCAGTGAAGGGGAAAGTTAAGGGACATTTAATTTACAGCGCTGAGCGAACACTCCTCCGTGTTTGAACCTCTTAAATCGCTGCATAGCCGATTTAATTGGACTGGATTATCCCAGAGAGTCTAAAGATTATTTATAACACCGTTTCAGATTTGTGAAACCTTTATTCTATTTGTGAAAATACAAACAAGGGAGATTTCAGTGCTTTTTTCGCATCCTGACCACATTAGACCAGGTCCTGATCTAAAACCACTTGACCTAGACTCATCAAATCTGGACTGGATTATCCCAGAGAGTCTAAAGATTCTTTATAACACAGTTTCAGATTTGTGAAACCTTTATTCTATTTGTGAAAATACAAAAAAGGGGGATTTCAGTGCTTTTTTTTTTTTACATGTAGACCACATTAGACCAGGTCCTGATCTAAAACCACTATACCTAGACTCATCAAATCTGGACTGGATTATCCCAGGGGGTCTAAAGATTCTTTATAACACAGTTTCAGATTTGTGAAACCTTTATTCTATTTGTGAAAATACAAACAAGGGAGATTTCAGTGCTTTTTTGGCATCCTGACCACATTAGACCAGGTCCTGATCTAAAACCACTAGACCTAGACTCATCAAATCTGGGCTGGATAATCCCAGAGAGTCTAAAGATTCTTTATAACACCGTTTCAGATTTGTGAAACCTTTATTCTATTTGTGAAAATACAAACAAGGGAGATTTTGCAGCTTTTTTCAAATCTAGACCACATTAGACCAGGTCCTGATCTAAAACCACTAGACCTAGACTCATCAAATGTGGACTGGATTATCCCAGAGGGTCTAAAGATTCTTTATAACACAGTTTTAGATTGTGAAACCTTTATTCTATTTGTGAAAATACAAACAAGGGAGATTTTGCAGCTTTTTTTTAAATCTAGACCACATTAGACCAGGTCCTGATCTAAAACCACTATACCTAGACTCATCAAATCTGGACTGGATTATCCCAGAGGGTCTAAACATTCTTTATAACATAGTTTCAGATTTGTGAAACCTTTATTCTATAAAACCTTATACCTTATACCTTATTATACCTTAAAACCTCATCTTAAAGACCCTGTGAAGTGTGCACCTGTGCATGATCTGTTATGCTAATACGTATAGTAATGACCAAAATTGTCCATTGGAA